AATCACCATCTCTGCATGCCCCAGGGGCGGGGCTGGCATGGCAGGCCTGGGGATTGAACCCCCAGCCCCTGCACCTGCTTGCAGGTGCTTTAATCAGCTGAGCTATTTGGCTGGCTCAAGGAACTTCAGGACTTTGCAAGGTAGCAGAAAGGGAAAGAGGAGTAGAGTAGAGTGTTTGCTCTGAGAAGTGGTTTCCACACTTCCTCCTATGGTATATGTTTGTAGTGTGACTCAGATTTGTGGGCCCTCTTTTAGCTTTTGCACAGAAGTTTGATTTCTTAATATGCTTGGGGCATATTTTTATCCTTTAACACTGTCAGTCTATAGTTTGCCTTCTCGGGGGTTAGTTTTCTCTCCATTGTGAAAAGCTCTCTGGGCTCTGATGATTGAACTATGGGAGTCCTTACAGGACTCTTAGGTCCCTGTGTTCCTGAAAAATATGGATGTCTATGCTGCTTGCTGCTTAGGCTGCTTCTTTTTCTTTATGCTTCTTTTTAGAATTGGTTTCCTGACAAATGACATGTTTATAACATGAGAAAAAATACTGTTTTTATTTTGCAGCTTATTTGCTTTTAGTTCTGTTTTGGACACTGTGTTACTTAGACCCAAAGAAAAGAATGATGTAGAGTATTACAGTGAAACGCAGGAACTACTGAGGACGGAAATTGTTAATCCTCTGAGAATGTAAGTAGACGATGCATATTTGCCTTTAGATGTTCTGTTTGCTCTTTTCTGGTATAGGAATTGCTTTATGCCCTGCTTTCATGTAATAGAGAAATGCGTGAAAGTTAATTCTCTTGGTGAAGCACTGATTATTATTTTTTAAAGCTTTGGTTCCTGTACTTCCATGGGTTATTTAAGTCTGGCTGATATATAGAATATAGTATACTCATGAAATGAATTAAACCATATGGGTAAGATACTACAAGTTAATAGTTGCAGAAGACTTAGAGAAGCGGATCTGTGGTGCTTAGGCTTCTTATCTTTTGAAATAATCTGTTGAGCCCTGCATGATCCTAACAGCGATCATGCTTATTGATGAAAGCTCTGCAGTCTGGCTTCTCAAACTTAATTCTACCTCAAAGAGATAGAAAAAGAGAAATTTTTTTTTGTAGAATGACTACTATTTAACATTTCTTTCCTAGAAACAGATGACATATATTTTAGTAATATGTTTTTTGTTTAAAGAAATATATTTAGGTCTCTATCTGTTGCCTTTACCAAGGTGATTCTGTTTTCTAGTTTAGGAATTATGCCTGTGTCTGCTTTTTGGGTCCTAGGAAGCTGTTTGTAATGGTGCAAGCACAAGTGACAGAGACCATCTATAAAGGCTTGATAAGTGCATTAGTAATGTATTGATGATGTCACATTATACATTTTAAACTGAGAAGAATTAGAGCCATAACTCATAAAACAGTTTTGTTCATTGAGGAGCACAGAGTGCAAACTGTAATTTACAGGCCATAGTAAAAGGTGAAAGATTTATACGATCTGAAGAGAAACCAGAGTATAACAGGCCATAGTAAGTTAAATTTAAATTTTGGGATCTACTTTTTTTTATTTGACAATTAAAACTAAAGATAGCTAGATAGAAGATTTTGATCAAAAAGCCAGAAATTTAGCGAGCATTTTGAATAACCTACTGTGTCACATGAATAGGGAAGTAAGCTATAAAAGAGTAGATTTTCCCACTTGTACTATTTTTCTTAAACTCTATAATTATGTTATGATTTATGAGAATTGTGAGTATTGATTTTCACATTTGGTCCTAGGCAAACATTTAAACAGACTTGTAATTTCCTCTCCAAATAAATGATACTAGATTAGGACAAATCAGATTCCAAACTCTGAGGCAGTAATGGGGAGCCTTTTAGAGACCGAGTGCCCAGACTGCAACCCAGAGCCACTTATTTATTGCAGAGTGCCAGTAGTGCGCATAGACCTGAGTAGTGAGGTTTTAGTTTAGAAAAAACCGTTGTTATCTGGTGCTTGGTTGCTAGGATGATGTGGCTGATGTGCTAGCAGACAGGGCTCTCTGCCCGCTGTGGCGTACTCGCGTGCCATGGGCTGGCCACCACTGCTCGGAGGAGCTGGGCGTGTAGCTCAGTGTAGCTCAGGGGTGCAGTGCCTGCCTGGCAAACGTGAGGTCCTGAGTTTGAGTCCTTGTACCAAGAGAGAAAGAAAGAAAGTGTCCACCGATGATGCCAATTACATCATAAAGACACATTGTTGTGGCTGTCTAATTCCTACATTTATTCTTTAGAATGTTTCTATTGATGAATTATTATTTTTAATTTTATGAGTTTTATGATATTAAACAATGAATACTTGACTGGAAAGCAGTACCCAAAACTAAAGCATTTAATTTTTAATATTTATTGAATGTTTATAAAAAAGCATCAGCATTTTTCAGCAACAAATGTTTTTGGGTGTACAAAGCCTAAAAAGACCCCAGAAATAAATTTCTATATGAACCACAATAAAAATATCAATATAACTTCACAAAAAATAATCTGGGGCCAGTGAGGTAGCTCAGCAAACTAAGCAGCTACTTAGGAAGCACAGGGACTGGGGTTTATCCCGGTACCACATGCTGTGCCAGCTCCACCCCTGGGTGTGCTGAGCTGGCCGTGGAGTTAGGGCATGGTGGTATGCACCTGTAATCCCAGTGCTGGGGAGGCTGAAACAGGAGGATCACTATGAATCCGAGCTACATAGTGAGACCTTGTAACAACCAAATACATGAAAGAAAAATATTTAAAAATCTGTACTTTGATTACCACATAGAAGGCAGTCTCACACTGGACCGCAGCACTTTCCATCCACACGTATCACTCACACAGACAGCACGTGTATTACTTCTCACTTTTTTTGTAGGGCGCACTTGACATCTCACTGGTCTTGCTGTTTCATTAGATGGCTCTTATATTATACAAGGTGTAAAATATCAATAAAAGTTTAGGTTTTTAATGTGTATTGCATGTTTAGAATAAGCATCAACGTTTTCACATCAGCTGTGTACTTGCAAAGCCTAAAAGGTACCATCAGAAATAAAGTCCTATGTGAATTACAGTGAAAATACCAGTAGAACTCTGCCACGAAAATAATCTCTGCCTTAATTGTCATGCCTAAGGCAGTCTTCACAAATGACAACTGCATGTTCCACGCACGCACCTCACTTCCACTGACAGCACATGTCCTTAGCTTTCCTTTCCTGTGTGGCATGCTGTTCTCTTTGTTTCCACCAGCTCAGCCCACCCTGAGGGCAGGGCTGCCATGGCACGTCGTGCCGGGATCGAGTTGAGGTCCCCTGCGGCTGTCTAAGCTTGCCTAAGCAGATGCTTTCGACCCCTGAGCTATCTCACCGGCCCGGCAGGCCACTCTTGTCTCCTTTCTTGTCTTCCTCGTTTGCCAGGAGCTTCTTAGTATTTTACAACATGCACTTAGTAGGAAAATAAGATATCAGTAATATAAAATATCAAATATATGACTCCTTAGAGTAAACCAACATTTTCACATCAGCTGTTTACTTGCTTTCAAAACCTGAAAGATAACATGAGAAATAAACACCTCTGTGAACTACAATGTAAATAGAAACAGAAGTTTGCCGCAGAAATAATCTTGGCTTCAACTGTCCCACCAGAAGTGGGCCTCACCTGTGAAGGCAGCACATTCTGTACACAAGTATCGCTTCCACTGATGGCACCTTTTTTTTCCTGTCCTTTGTTTGTGGGGCGCAGTTGATATCTTTTGGTTTTCCTGTTGTCATAGTAGGTCTCTGTGGTGCTGGTCTTCCTGTTCACCCGTAGGCTTACTAGTGTGCTCCACAATTTTTTTGTATAGTACCCTGGGCAGAAACGTTTTGCTTTTTCCTCTGCTATAAATGATCTCTTACAAGTGCCAGTTCCAGTCCTCTAAGAAAATTTCTCTGTGGTGTTTTGTACTTGGATTTTCTTTATGAGCTATTAAACTGTTTATGCCAAACATGTTTAGGAACATGGGAAACAGCCATTGGCCAATGCTTTGTGAGTGCTATCAGGTGCTGCATAACTTACCAACAGTAGCTACTCTGCCTTTGGTCAGTTCTTGCTCCGCCTCACTGTCACAGGAACTTTGCCTCATGTGGCCAGAGTCCAAGTCATTATCATCTTTGTCATCCATACATAAATCTAATGATTCACTTTTTAGCCACCTCCAGAACTTGCAAATCTGGTTTTTCATGTGCCATTGTACTTAATTGGGCTACTTCTACTAGAAAAATCAAAACAAAACTTTTTTTAAAAAAAACAAAAACCTGCCGGTGAGATGGCTCAGTGGAATAAGCGCTTCCCCAGCAAGCTCAAGGGTCTGAGTTCAGTCCCCGGTTCTGCCAAAAAAAAAAAAAAAAAAAAAACAAAACCAAAAACCTTATGGGGCTGGCAAGATAGCTCAGTGGTCTAAAGCTCCAGCGTACGCAAGCTTAGGCAGGTGCAGGGGACCAAAGTTCAATCCCCGACATCACATACAGTATCAGCCCCACCCCTTGGGTGGACTGAGCTGAGGGAAAGAAAAAAAAAAATGAACAAAGAAAAAACCCTTAAATGCACAAAAATTTAGCAGTGAGTATTTCATGAATAAAACTCACCTGTTGCTGCTTTGAGCTCCCGTACACACCTTGCTGTTCATCTGCTGACTGGGTGCATGCCTGTAGATGGGTGTTTTGCTTTTCTGAGGCACACTTACTGGGAGTCACACCCATATTCCATTATGGTAAAAATACATGTTTATGTAAAGAAGTGTGATGTGGGTGTATTTTATCCCTTCTGATGCTCTGGTAAACATACACAAAAGCTGTAAGAGGTAGCATCATGTGGAGCAAATTCCCAGTTTTGCACACAGGCATGCATCTTGCTGTTTGTTCATCAAGGCAAGTGGGTAAGCACAAAGACTGCTTCCTGTAGCCCCCATGAGCAGCTAGTAAGATGCACACTTGGTTACTATTATGCAAGTACAAATTTACAGTAGAAAAATATGGGCTAGATTGTTGTAACCCTGAGTTACGCCCTACAGAACGTTACCCTATAGAGTGTGTGGGACATTCTGTGGATCCTGTTGTCCATGACAAGAAGCTTGTCTGAGGGTCTGTATCCAGTCAGAGTCTATGTGTTTGTAGCACCCACATTTCTGTTTTTGCTTTGAGATTGAAATCTTGCTTTCTCCACCACACACTTCTCAGAGGCAGAGACCCTATCTGTCTTTCTCACCTTATTCCTTTTGTAGTTTCAGCGGCAGATAGGTTAGCATAGTAAATAAATGGCAGATGCTTAATATATGTCTGTCGAAGGGAGTTAATAGTGAATGAATAGTCAGTATAAAAGGACACATATAAGATGAGGTGGTTCTCGCTTGCCCTTATGAGCACCATGGTGGCCACCCAGGTCTTCCGAAGCCATTTTTAGAAGTAGAATCTTGTAAAGGATTGACATTGAGCTTATTGAATATGGCCTGTACTCAAAGAGAGAAAGTGACCTAGTGATGCTGGGTTGTTTGATGACTGGTGTAGATTTTCAGTATCTCATGAGTTTCCTTTTTTATTTCCCTTGGTACTGTTCCACCCTTTGGTATGAAAAGAGCTTTCTCTGGGCCAGCCAAATAGCTCAACTCATTAAAGCACCTTCAGGCAGGTGCAGGGGCCAGGGCTTCAATCCCTGGGCCTGCCATGCCAGCCCCACCACTGGGGTGCGCTGAGACCGCAATTGAGACTAGGCATAGTGGTGCACACCTGTAATCCCAGCTCTTGGGAGGCTGTAAACAGGTGGATCACTACTAGTTTGATCTAATTGTGAGACCCTGAACACCCTGTAGACCCTTCCCTAAAATAAAAAAATAAAAAAAAAAAAGAACTTTCTCTCTTAAAATAGTATTATGTTCAGGGCTTGGGGGCTAGCTCAGTAGAATAAGTGCTTGTTTGGCAAATGCAAGGTCCTGAGTTTAATCCCTGGTACCGCAAAAAAAAAAAAAAAAAAAAAAAAAAAAAAAAAAAAAAGGTATATTCTGTTTTATAAAGTGAATTAATTCTTAAGGAAAAATCAGTTAAGAAATTAATCATCACATATATTAAAATTTTTCTCCCATTATTGTATGACAGTTATTTTAAAGTGTATAATAGTGTCTGGGATAATTCTGATACTAGATCTTTAATTTTTCAAGATTTAATAAGTCTATGATTGTATTCTTCAAAAAATTGCTATGTCTGACATATTATAAGTTGGAGTTATGTGTTATTGTTAAGAAATATAACATAATTTATTGTATATGTCAATACCAGTTAAGTAATAGGTTTTTTTTTTTTTTTACTAATACAGATATGGATATGTATGTGCCACAAAAATTATGAAATTGAGGAAAATACTTGAAAAAGTTGAGGCTGCATCAGGATTTACCTCTGAAGAAAAAGGTGACCATCTTCTTTTACAGCATATACATTGAAAAAATCTTGAAACCATGTAAATGTGCTAAATTATTAGTGTGCCTGGGTAGTTTTGTGGTTTAATTTTAAGTTAGATTTGGAAGGCCTAAGGATATAGCTCAGTGACACAAGACTGTAGTGGGGTGCTGGATTCAGATTCCTGGCACCCCCAAACAAATGAACAATAAAAGGAAGATTTGTTTTTTATGTGATATACATTTTTCTCCCTGCTTTGTAAATTCTTCTTCTCTTCTAAAAATACAGTGATGGGCAATAATGAACCCTTTTAAGAGGCAGCCCTCATTGTACTGTATTAAAATGGATGAAAGGTGCCTTCCTTTCCAAAACACTGTAATATTCTGGGTTTTTTCTGTGGTGAAAGAAGGGATACACTGAGTCCTTTGTGTTTCCCACTTAGTTTTTCTTGTAAGAGAGCATTATTAAACAGCTGACTATGATTAAGTGTATGGTTAGTGTTTTAATCTATTCCTAGCTAATGGATTTATGCAAAGATTCAGCCTCTGACTTTGAAATTGTTAGCGGTGTATTTAGCCAACTATTAAGCTTAGAGGCCTGATAATTAACTAACAGTAAGAAAAACAGGGCATACTTCAGATTTGTCCCGCTTATCTTAAACTGCCCAAAGTAAAATTATTTCACTATATGACTCGTTCTACCTTTCAAATGCAAGAGTTATAACACAATTGGAACACAAATTTTCTCATAACATACAAATATTCTTTGTAGCTTTCCTTCATCAGGAAATCTTGAAAACTATGCTTATATTTATTTTTTTTTACATGTATTTGGTTAAAAACTGTGCTTTTAATTGAAGTAATACTGAGTGAATGAAATTGAGTTCAGTATAAAAATGAGTTGAAAAACAATGATTTTAATGTTTTTCCTGTGACTTACTTAGGTTTTAATTTTTTTCTAGATCCTGAAGAATTCTTAAATATCCTATTTCACCACATTTTAAGGGTAGAACCATTATTAAAAATAAGGTAAGCTTTAAATTGTTATAGAGTCATTGGGAAAATACACCATCCTTATTTTACTGCTGTCATTCAGTAGGAATGATTTCCTTACTAATGACTATTTGTTTAGTGCTGTTAATTATGCTAGGTAAGTATAAATACGAATTAATTTTCATCGCTGGCTTTTCTATAGTGTCATACTTAATGAAGAACAAATTCAATGTAAATTTGTATTTTTAATTTTAATCCCAGTAACAAATACTGTTGCAATGCATTTTCTTATGGAACTATGAATATTTTTATAATTTTAATGATCACTTGAAAAAATATTATTCTAAAAATGTAGTTAAACACTGGGAGAACATTGGTTTTTATTACCTGTCACTTAAAGAATCAAGTTAGCCTTATACTAGATCAACAAGCTCTCTCTCTCTCTCTCTCTCTCTCTCTCTCTCTCTCTCTCTCTCAAATCTTCTTGAGACAAGGTTTCATTATACAATTCATGCTGGCCTTGAACTCACTTTGTAGCCCAATCTGGCTTCAAACTTCAGTGATCTTCTCGCTTCAGTCTCCTGAGTACTAGGACTATAGGCATGCACCACCACTCTTGTGCTAAGTTTTGTAACTCAGTCTTTTTTCCTGCCAAGTTGAAGAAAAGCCTTGAATTTAGCACAGAAATGTTCTTAGTGATACATTCTAGATGCTGAGTTTCCAGGCAGTGTAGTGTAAACTGTCTTAGTGGTAGATGTGCCTCCATTCAAACCTGTGTTCCTCTGTTGTAAAGCTTGGTGGTGTACCATCCTTTTCCTTAAAAACTTAAATGTAGACAGGTGCCACCCTCCCCTGTGTCTTCGGTTGTGGTGTTTGATGCCAACGTTGAACAGATGAGCAAGAAGAGATACAGAAGAGGGGAGAGTGCCGCAGTTGTAGCTGGCTATTGTACCAAATGTTCTAGTGAAGAAAATAAAACATGCTATGCAAGCACTTGGTGTACTTATTTATGAGCTAGTCAAAGCCTTGGGTGGACTTGGAAAACCCTTGAGAACTGCCTAGAAATGATTTAATCAAATAAGAAAAAGGAATAATTCCATACTTAATGAAAATAAAATACCATACAATCAATTTTATTGAGATAGATTTTTTGAAAGACACAGGGATGAAAAGTAATTCATTAATTTAAGTAGATTATATTTTAGGTAGGAAGATTAGTTTGCTTATTTATTTATTTTTAGTACCAGGAATCAAATTCACAACCTCACTGTGCCACTGAGCTATATCCCTAGCCCTAGATATGTTTAAGATGTTAATATTTTGTAAAACATTTGACACATAAGCAAGACCTTAATCTGTACCTTTTTTCAAACCCAAGAAAGGGAAGTGATATTAGAGTTCTCTAAAAAATGAAGTGGGTGAAGAATACTTTTTTTAAGAGTTCTATTTTAAGCTTAAAAGGCAAAGCAATAGACATTGAAAAAGTGTTTGATACATGTATAAAATTAGAAGAATTGATCAATAGCAAGCTCAGTAGTATTTCAGTAACTTAGAAGTGAGCTTTCAAACAGATTGTGAAGGAAAGATATATTTAATACATGATATAGGACAGCCAGCAGGCAGTTGAGGAGAAAAAGGTCATTTAAAAAAATCTTTTAAAGAAATAAATTCCATGTGCTTACAACAATTGGTTTTTTTTTGTTTTACTTTTCTGACAAATCTAAGGGGTGTAACCCCTGCCCACATTAGCATGGGCTGAGTAGTGTGGTGCTTTTCTGAAGGAACAGAAGGGGCAAGCACTGCTCAGTCTGAGGGTCCTGGGGCCTTATAGAGTTCTTGTACTCCTTGTGGGTCTGCTGCCCCTTACCCCACCCCCAAGCAGCCTTTTTGTATTTCGATTTGCTGATTGAGGACCCTGAGAAGATATTTTAAGTTAGGCTTTCTTCTCCCCAAGTGCCATCCTCCCCCTGCCATGCACGTGCCTTTCTTCCTAACCCAGGAGGAGTCAGGTGATGGAGCCTATGTTGGATGAGTGCCTTAAATAATAAACCAGTCCAAAAGAAGTTATATTTTTAAGTACCTGAAAAGACAAAAGAAGAGCAAATACAGATGAGAGGTAAGAGCAGATTCGACTAATGGCATCAACTAAAGTTTTAGGCAGACCATAGCACTGGCAGGAAGAGGGTGTGTGCCCCCTGCAGGGCAGTGACTGAGGTAGGCGCTCCTGAGGCAAGGCCAGCAGGACCATCAGATGAGGCCCCCAGAGAGCGAAGGCCAGCCATGGAAGTGGGGTTTTGACCAGAGGCCCAAGGAGGTGCTAGAGAGAATAGGGAAGCAGTAGTGTCTCATGAATTTTCAGAATTTTTTTGACAGGCTTAAATTCTAAGAATAAAGATGTACAGAATTCCTCAGGAACCAGGATTAAATTACCACTCAGACATGTATTACAAGATGCACTTTAGTAAGACAAATTGAATTGGGAATAGAGGAGTGGGATGCGAGAAACAGGGAGGAATCAAGAAATTGGTAAATTTGGCAAAGTAGAGCTTAACATTTAAAAACTAGTGATAATGACTGTAGAACTCATCGTGACTGTGTGTGTATTTGATGAAGTGAAACTAAAGGCACGATTACTAACGAGAGAGGATGGTAATTGGAGGTGGGCAGAAGAAACAAGAAGTGGAATAACCTTGGCAATCAGGAAACACAGACGTAGAGGAATTGGGGTTGCATTCCTGAATACTTCTCCTTACAGAACAGTCTGGGTATTGTTACTTGAATAGGTCCCATCTGTACCATATTTGGTGGTGCTTGGTAGCCCCGAGCCCATAAAGAACTTTAGGGACTGGCCATTACAGTCTGCATCACAGGGCAGAGAGTTTGCAGTTGCACGATCCATGAGCATTTTTGTCTTTTCTGTTAATGTCCGTTCCCTTGTGAAATGAGCCAATTGGTGTCCTCTGCCCTTCGGTTTTCCTTAGTGGAGAGTGTGCTAGTGTGTGTCACTCATTTCAGCATAATTGTGCTAGCTTCCTGGGGTTCTGTAGGGTTTCCCTTCTGTGACTTGAGTGAGGGTGTCTTCACCCCTCCCACTCTTGTGGCCTGTGTCCCAAAGCTACACATGCCTGTTCCATGTTTCTGGTCCCTTCTCCGTGTATGCAACTTAGTGTTCCCTTCAGCCACCATCCCTTCCCCTCCAGCCATCATCATTGCTTGTTCCTGTTAACACTACTCATTTCCATTATGTCCTTTCTTTCCTCTTATTTTTCTTTGCTTCCTATTAATTTTGCTATGCTTTTTGGCTGTCACAGAAAAAAATTGGACTTTTGACATTATATCTTCCTCTGATCTTGATTTGCTGTGTAGTCTGTCCTTCTTTAGTTCTCAAGATCTTCATTTAAAAAAAAAATGATCTAGATTTTCTAAGGGCCTGAAGGCATGTGCACATTTGTTTCCCTGCTTCAAGCATCTAATGCAGTTTGGTACTTTCTAGATTTTAACAATGAAGTTGAGTTAACTGATTTTACCTTCTGACTATTACTGTTCACACAGTGCTGCTTCTTTTTTTTTCCCATAATTTTATTGAGAAACAAATAGCAATGAGACAGTTTCAAATCAAATTAGTAGGACAGTTTCAATAATTAATACATTGCATATTGTTTTCTTAGTGGTTATTTGTTGTACAAGATGCAGACATGATATCCTGTTTACAAACGCTATTAGAATAAATCCCTCTATTCATTGAATTAAGAGAAATGTAGCTGTATGTCTATCTTAACTATTTTGAATATATAGATACAAAATGGTCGTTCCTTTGTATCCCCTTTTTTTGGTTTAGTTTTGTCATTTAAATATTATAGGTGTGTGAATTCAGCAAAATATTCCAAAATAGTCCAGTAGTCCATAATAGTATTAGGTTTTCCATATGACTGGCAATGTCAGAAGTTGTTGACTTGAGTCTTTTATAGCTCAGCATGATAATGTGGCTTTACTTCTTATACTTCATTTTTATACTTTTCTGCTGGATGGTTAAGACCAAGATAAAGCAAGACCTTTGTAACAAGAATTGTAGCTTTTGTATCTGATAAGGTCAGTCAAAATACCCTCAGGATTTATCCTGAAACGCTGTACCGCAGTTTGTAGATCCTTTGCCATGGTCTGCCATGTGGATGAGTCATGGCCATTGCTTGACCAGTTTGCTCTCTGTGAAAGCCTGAGAGAATGTTTTCTCTCCATCTGACTCCCCTTAGGCACACTCTACATCATTGATCACTTTCCTCTGTGGCCCCATAATCTCCTTGATCAGAAAATTTGGGACACTACTGAGTTGCATGACGTTACAGTACAGGTTCTCATATGTCCTGAGTCTTCATTGACCTTGAAAGGCTAGGGCCAAAATGTTGGCTGTCCTTGTGGCCCTCCTTTTTCTGTAATTTTTGGCCTGCAAACTTAGGTTGTTAACCCTCCAGGAAAGAAGGTTATTGCTATTACCATACAACCTAGGCTGTTGAGCTTAACTGCACTATCTGTCTGAATATCAAACATCTTAGGCATAACATGGAGCAGGTATTTTTCATCAAGTATTGATATGTTAAACTTTAAGTCACACAGTGCTTCTTGACTAGAGATATTATTCTGTGAGTTTTCTTCTCGTCACCAAGAGAACGTCTCAAAAACTAGGATAAGAAATTACTTACAGTCTTTCGTATAAATATATTTAATTATTTCATCTGAATTTTCTTTTCTACCATTGTCCAGACCACCTGAAGAAGTTGCCCTATCAATTTTATGGGGTTTCTTTTGTCCTCAGATCCTGCTGGAACAAGTTCACATTCTGATTTAAGCATTTAATAAATAAGTCATATGTGTTCTTTTCTGCATGTTCTTAGATCAGCAGGTCAAAAAGTGCAAGATTGTTACTTCTATCAGATTTTTATGGAAAAAAATGAGAAAGTTGGCGTCCCTACAATTCAGCAGTTACTAGAATGGTCGTTTATCAACAGTAACCTGAAATTTGCGGAGGTCAGTGTCACTGCTGTGTGTGAAAGCCTGGGGGATTGTGCGGAGAACTATCAGTCAGTGCCTGCAAATTGAACCAACTCAAACTAGCTGTTAAAAAACACGGATTTGACAAAAACATGAAGTAGTTCAACTTTGTCTGTGTAGAAAATGTATTAGACTGAAGTTTGACCTTTATAGATTTTTTTGTGCCATAACCCACCAAGCTAATTTGTAACTTGAAAATCCTGAAGTAGCTTAACACAAAAAGTAGGATTTTAAAAAATTGCTATTTTCCACAAATACGTTATCTAAATGTATCAAGAGAGAAAATTTACTTTTCCTCTGTTCATGAAGACATAAGACATCGATCAGTTCACTTACTGTGAACTGAACAAATGATGCAAATAAGCTTTCTTTTTACTATCTCCTTAGTAATTTTATAATTTTAGTAAGTGCATGTATGTTTTTTTTGTTGTTGTTATGTTACCTCTGAAGGGAGGTTTTTAAAACAATTGTTATTACTATTTTTATTATTTACTGATACAGGTTCTTGCTATGCAGCTTGGACTCTTTCTGTCTCAGCCTTTCCAGTGCTGGGATTACAGGCATGCCCTACCACATCTGGTTTCAGGGCTGGCATGGCCTATGGCTGGCACAGCATGAGGTACTGGGGATCAAACCCGGGTCCTTGCGCTTGCCAGGCAGGCCCTTAGACCACCGAGCTAGCTCCCCAGCCCAGGATGATATTCTTGATATACAAACTAATAAGAAATTGTTTTATCGGTCTCCCCCCCTGGGCTAGGGAGATAGCTCGACTCTCTTAAGCATCTGCCTGGCAAGTGCGAGGACCTGGTTCGATCCCCGATACCACATGTTGTGCTGATCCGGAAACAGAGAGTGGTGGCACATGCCTGTAATCCCAGCACTGAGGAGGCTGAGACTGGAGGATCACTACGAGTCTCAGTCTTAGCTGCCAGTGAGACCCTGTATCAAATAAGTAAATAAAAAGATTTTAAAAAATGTATCATCCTTCTGTGATGACAGTTTCTATATAGTTGTTGAAATACTTTATCAAAAACTTTATTTATAAAAACCCAATATAAAATGACACAAGGTAGTTCTTATGCTATCTGGGCCTAAGACTGTTGAACCCCGGCCTTCTGGGTCTTGCAGGGTCACATGACGGGTGACTAGAAGACTGGTGGCTGGGACCACATTGCTTCCATGGTCCATGTTCACTGGGTGGGTCTTGTTTTCTCTGCCATCAACATTAAGATGAAAATTACTTGCTCTGACAGTGGTGACTATTGCCATTTCATAAGGAAGTATTTTTTTTCTCAGCACTTTGATTTTTTTTCTAAAACTGTGTTTTTCTGTCTCTTGCTCTTTAGGCACCATCATGTCTGATTATTCAGATGCCTCGATTTGGGAAAGACTTTAAATTATTTAAAAAAATTTTTCCTTCTTTGGAATTAAATATAACAGATTTACTTGAAGACAGTAAGTATAAGGTTTTTGAGCTTGTTTTGTTTGTATTTTAGAAATAGCCAGTCAGGCTATTCTTATTGGTTGCGGATGTGATACCTCGAAAAGGCAGTGCGGTATGCGAAGAGCCTCAAAATATCAAGCCACTAATTTTAGTTTTAGGAATTTATTCTGAAAAAAACATAATGAGAGATTAAAGTAAATATTTTATAGGTAGATTTCATATTGTCATAAGAAATTGGAAACAACCTGAGTGTTAATAAGAGGGCAGTAGTTAACTTAATTATATATCTATACAATGAAACTTCTCTTAAAATTCATGTTTTTGAAGATCATTATGTTTGAAAATGGTCATGAGATAGTACTGAGTTAAAAGTACAGACATTGGTAGACACTTAATGTGGACATCTGACTCTGTAAATACCTGTGCACATACAGTTATGTAAATATTCAGACATAAAGTTGAAGAAAATTCACAGTAATATTGACAGCGGTTTTCTCTTGCTAAGATTGTGATACTTTTAGGTTTTTTCCTTCTACATTTTTGTGTCTTGAATTTTCATTGGTGAACACTTTATGATCAGAGGAGAAAACACTCTAAAATGTGTTTTTTAAAAAGAAGCTATGGTCAAAAAGGATGTCTTTAATGATGTCTCCAATCTAGGAACATTTAACTTAAAGTTTAAAAGAGTGTGAGAATGATAGACTTTTTGAAGCCCTGAATATTTTCTTTTTAATAAAAGAATGTTTGTTTTTTGTAGTACTAGAAATTGAACTATATCTGCATCCCTTTTAAAATTAATTTTGAAACATGGTCTTGCTAAGTTGCCCTGAGAGGGCTCAAATCTTCGATCCCCCTGCCTCAGCCTCCTAGAGTTCAGGGATTAAAGGGGTGCACCCGTGCCCGGACATTTTGAAAGGCCCCTCACCTCTGCTCCCTGCTCCACTGCAGCTCCCCGGCAGTGCCGGATCTGCGGCGGCCTCGCCATGTACGAGTGCAGAGAATGCTACGATGACCCGGACATCTCGGCAGGAAAGATCAAGCAGTTCTGCAAAACCTGCAACACTCAAGTAAGCAGCCCCGCTGGATTATCTCTTGTAGAACAGTAAGTTATGTGTACTTGAAAACAGAGTTCAGGTTTTAAAAGGTTTTTAACTCATACTTAACTTTAGAAATTCTTAATAAAATGGTATTATGTCTGCCTCTGCTTGGGGACTGAGAGACTTCTGTGAAGTAGCTGGTTGCCATTTCTGTGGATGCTGTGAAAGTAAGTGGAGTTCCTCTACTTGACGCATCTCGTTAGCTCACTTGTGGTGTTCTCTTCATTGTCTATTTTAGGTCCACCTTCATCCCAAGAGGTTAAATCATAAATATAACCCAGTGTCACTTCCCAAAGATTTGCCTGACTGGGATTGGAGACACGGCTGCATCCCCTGCCAGAAGATGGAGTTGTTCGCTGTGCTCTGCATAGAAACGAGCCATTACGTAGCCTTTGTGAAGTACGGGAAAGACGACTCTGCCTGGCTCTTCTTCGACAGCATGGCCGACCGGGATGGTATGTCCAGCCTGTCTCCTGCATGTGGCAGCCTGTGGGCTTGCAGTGAGGTAGTTCTCAGCGGTTCTCAGAACTGTTTGTTCTGAGTAATAAGATATTTTGTTTGGTAAGAAAATCCTTTCAGGAATATCTTGATGACACAGACTTTAATCATGAAATGCCTTAATACCCTGCTGTTATTATTCCTTATAATAGCAACATTGTAAGCCATAATATTTTTATGTTATTTTGACATGTGTATGCTCATTGTTAAGAATAGATTACTAACATTCTCATGTGAGGGCTGAAAGATTTTGTTTTCCTCTCCCCCCCACCTCTTTTTTTTGTGTGTAAACCATAATAGGCTTGAACAAAGAGTTGTACCAAAGCTGTCAGAACAGTAAGTCCTTTTACCTAACTTTTTGAAAGATGGAAATGCATCCCATTTTTCTGATATGAAAGCTGAGGTCACATAGCTTGTATTTAATTTTTGATCTCATGCTTTTTTTTTTTTAAGTACTAAACTGTGTTATCTTTGAAATGACAAAAGCTAAGACCAGAAGTAAACACCCTCCTGGAAAATGAGCCTGTTTTGCATTTAATGTGTTTTTCCCTAAAAATGTGGCTGAACTGTACTCTCTAGGATATAAATCATTATTTAATACATCTGAGGACCAGGGTCCTGAGGAGGTTTCGAGAACGACACGTCTGTCACAACAGCTTCTCTGACCTCTGTGTAGCTCTCAGGTTAGGGCTAGCATCAGGCACAGTTGGGAAGTAGGACACCTGTCCCTGCATTTTCTGGACTTTCTTGAGCCCCGAGCCTGAGGTCTTCTGTGTGGCCCTCTGAACACCTAAGACCCCTCCCCTAGTGGCATCCATTAATTGACAGATGCCCAGCTCCAGACCAGGAGTTCTCAGCCTTTTCTCAGCCTTCAGATGCCTGAGCAGTGCAGCCCAGCCCCATCTGTAAATGCGCCTGTGCATCTGACTGTGTGACCTAAAGGCTGACCCCTGGCATTTGGGAAAGCCATCAGGAGGGCCTGAAAAGCCCTTCTTCAGAGTACCATGATACAGTTTGATGCCGCGTAAAACAAGCCATGCTAAACATGTGCACAGATTTGTAAAAGTTGAGGGCTGGACCTGCTCCAGATTGGACAGTCTTAGAGTGAAGTATGCTGGGATGCAGCCTCTCGGAGGGCTGTGGAGATGTGAGGAACTAAGCCGGTCCCAAATGGAACGCACAAGGAAGCCTGGAAGGCAGGCGTGAGCCTTTCCTCAGGATGCTTCCTTTTACCAATTTCATTTACTCTTAGTCCCAGAATCTTTTCAGAAGCCAAGAGATGAGAAAACCGTCATATGGTAGAAGAGCCTTTAACTTCTAGAAATCATAAGTAAAATAAGATTATTTGGATCCCAAAAGTCAGCCTTTACTAAATCAGAGGATTATCCAGCAGGCTTGGGGTGCGGGGTCAGCAGCGAGAGGCTGTAGGACATCACTGCCCTAAAGTGCTACCCTCCTTCTCACAGGTGGCCAGAATGGCTTCAACATTCCCCAGGTGAGCCCCTGCCCAGAAGTGGGCGAGTACCTGAAGATGTCTCCCGAGGACCTGCACTCCTTGGACTCCAGGAGAATCCAAGGCTGTGCTCGCAGACTGCTTTGTGATGCGTACATGTGCATGTACCAGAGTCCGACCATGAGCCTGTACAAGTAGCCGGGCCGGCCCGAGAGGCGGAGAGACTGAGCCCCGGACCTCAGGGCTGCGTCTTCCTGGAGCTGGCGTTCTGTTCCTCGCCCGTTGCCGGCAATGGGCGTCTGTGCGGTGGCGATTCCGGAAAGGACTCCCGTGCTTCACAACCAACTGCTTATGTGTTCCTGAAGTATTTAATAAGAAGCATTTTGCACTCTAGAGAGTATGTTTGTGTTGGTTTTATAAGAAGTCTAAATTAATACCTAAAGCTTTAAGTTAACTGCATTGATTACATGATATTTTTTAGAAGCATACAATTTTAATTGTGACAGTTTAAAACCTCTCTTAGTCCATTGACAATGTAAATAAATGTTTCTTCTTTCTGGACCAAGGATATGAAATAATTTTTCCTTTGTAGCCAGCGGCTGCCGTGAGGAAGACGTAGTTCGGTTTTCTTCAGTCTCCGCTCGCGCCGGCCGTGGCAGGTGTGCCGCGCCTGCCTGGCTAGTTCCTTCTCCCTGCTGCCGACTCCTGCATGGCTGCACCCCGCTGAGCTTCTGTGTTGCAGTTGCGCTCAGAAAAATCCCGCGGTTCCCTCAGTGGTGTTGTTTTCTATTTGTTCCGATTTTGAGATAAATGCGTGATTCTGTTATAAATGTCCAATTTTCATGTACTTTCCCTGGAGGATTGGGGTGATCAGCAATTGAAGCTCTTCAGTCCTTGTAACTGTCAACTAATAGGATGTTTTTGCACACTATTTTATGTGACAAGGCGCAGAAAGTTTTATGAAAAGATCGAAATAATAAGTAAATAACGATTCCTATACAAATACATAGTCCATGAGAAAATCCAACATCTAGAATTACTCCTTAATATTTCCCTGGAAGGCTATATTAGATATTTAATCCTTTATTTAAATAAATAAGAGGCTTTTTTAAAAAAAAATTAATCTGTTATTTTGAGTAAGGCGGTTACTTTAAGTTTCATCAGTCAACCAGTTCACTCAGTAAATTTTTTGGTTTTGCTTGAAATAAATGATGGTCTGAGTCATATTTTATTGAACTGTTAGCAGTAGCTTCATCCTCCCTTTGATTAAAGAAGTAGAAAATGGATGTGTTCTAGGTAGATCCATAGTGTGTGTTTAGACCACAGTAAATGTTGTAAACTAGCATCATAGAGTATAAATGTCAGTGCTGTGGACGGTGTATTCCTTGAGTATTGTTTTGTGATATCCTTGTGTTTTTGGAATGACTTTCTAACCTTGCAGAAAGACAGAAAAGATGTCATATGTATGATAGCATATGACTGTACAATATTGAATGTTAAAAAATTGGAAAGAGTCTTTACCAACCCTGTAGTTATTTTTTTTAAGATATCTGGTTTTATCATTCCATTTTGCTAATATTTATTAGCTTTTTAAATCATAATAAAGTACAAAACTTTTCCATCTTATACCCTTTTCATTTTTTGAAGTGAACAAGTAGATTTTTTTTTTTTTTGAAACTAGGTTTTGTTCTGCTTATGTTGGGCTATGAAATGACAGCTAGATGAGGGTTAGGCTGAGAACTCACTGTGCGGCCAGCTCTGTCCTTTTCCCTAGGGACAGATGGGGGTATGGGATGCAGCGTCTTAGGTTCTACTCTAGCTCTGACCATCTGAAGTCCAGCCACTGCATTGCTGATAGGGACTGTGTGAAGAACAGGTGCAGGCGAACCAGTGTGATTCCAGCAGGAGAGCTGAGGGAGTGGTTAGACATCTGCATCTAGATAGGGCTAGAGACAGAAGATATAGTTCTTTTTCTGTAGAAAAGGAAACAAAATGCAAGGTGGGGAAGATTCCTGGCCAGCTGCATGCCGGAGACTTGCTTACAAGCCAGTTTGATTCCAAATTCCACAGGGTGGGGCCCTTGTCAGTGGACGGGGCCTCATCCCAAAATGGGGCTCAACATTTGCTCTAGCTCATTGCTGGGGAAGGGAGCCAGTGGAAACGGAGACCCCGTGCTCTTGCCCTACTCTGGAGGTTCACCAGGATGTCCAGAGAAGCCTCTTCCCTCATCTGTCCCTCTGTGCTCTGAGCAGTCCCTCCTTGTTCTTCCAGCAGGGCCTGGGGTGCATGCGTGGATGGCCAGTGTGCCTCCTGAGTTGTTTAGCTTTCAGTTTTATGTTTCCTCTAGTATTCTGTTCGCTTTGAAAATGTTTTGATTATCATTTTTCCTCACCATATTTCCATTCAAGATGATAATATAGAATCATCTTTGTGTCATGGTTCATGCCTCATAGCTACAAATACAGCAAGTCGTGTTCTTCCACCTCCAAGTAGCTACATGTGTGTTTATTGTGTGTTTCTGTGTGGAAGAACAGGTTGTGGGGGAGAGACAGACTGAGCTAAAGATAGAACTGTGCTACTGATGCTAAACGTGGCCTGTCCTGCACTAACAGCTTCCTCCAGGAGTCGGACTCCAGCCACAAAAGAATGTTTTCTGAGACTGGGAAAATGTAATGGAAACCAAGAGAAACGGTTTAAAAATTCCCATAATTGCTGCAGTTGCTAAGGTTTCTCTGTTTAGAACATTTCAGAATTTTTATAATTTATATTTGCCAAATGCTTTGTAGATGGTCAGGTTCTTCTTGTTCCCTGATTCATTTATTCTCCCACATACAGTCACTTGTGAACCAAGGGAGGAGACAGGAATTTGTCTTGTGGCACTTATGCTGTCCTCCAAATGTGTTTGTTTGAATGTGGTGTCTTTATAGACTGGAGTTGGTGCTCAGCTGAGTCTCACTCTGCTGCCAGATAATTCTGCCTCTGTTTGGGTGGTTGTAGACCGAAACATGCATGAATGTGGTATCAAACTTCATGAGCAGCTGCCAGCAGGTACTACCAGCCATCGATTAGGTACCTAGGATTGTGTCACAGGCACTGAGACCTGGGAGGCAGCGTAGGGTCGCAGGAAAGGACTGAGGACAAGGGAGCTAGAGCCGTTTTCTATTACCTGTTCTGTGTTGTTAGATGGCTTTCATGTCTTCTTCTGTATAATGAGGGGATTAGACTGTTGGATTTTATAGGGGGAAAAAAGTATAGATTCTAAGGTCCCGGGCCATGGCTGCTGGACTGACGCGCACATGAGGCTGGAAATGTCCTGGCCATACTCTCACCTTCTGACCCTGATGACCAGCCTGGGTGGGAGTTACTGAGTGGAACCCTTGAGAGGCCCCTCCTCCCTCTGCAGCCCCATACTGCTGCCATGTTAATGGTTCCACACAAATGTGAGTAATTGGGTATTCATCGTGCTGTTATCTGTGTTTGTATATAAACTTATATAAGAAATGCGTGTCAGGCTGTGCCTCAGCCCACCATTTCCTAAAAGCTTTAGCAGCTTTTGGAACATAAATGAGTCTTAAGAAGATATTTGATATAGGGATTTTCCTACCATCTGATATCTTTAGGAGAAATTGAGGCTCTGGAAGCCAAAGAAATAGAAAACTATAATTCTCATACAAGGAAAAAAATATATACAGTTTCTTACTATCTGCTACATTATGATGAAAAATACAAAATTTTGGGGTAAGATAGTTCTCTGGAGTAACAGGTCATCTTACCATGAAGTAAGATGTCTTTGGTAAAGTACATGTGTTACAAGGTCTGTAATAAAGACAAAGCCACCTTCCTTGGACTGGGGATATAAATACCACCCCTGTTCTCCATCAATGGACAGAGTCCTTGAATTCCCTAAATAAAGCAGGTGGGCATGCAGTCCTTAGAGCAATAGGTGCCTACGTGGAAGCAGGGCTTCTGTGCTCCTGAGCTTGTCCCTCTTGTCCCAGATGAGAACTTCAGAGATGGATGCTCCCCACGGAATTGGCCCTGCTCTTATCTCTGCTTTCAGATGTCTTATTAGGAGGAAGAGATAGGAGGGTGGGTGAAGCTCTTCTTAGAATAAACCCATGAACAGATGAAGGATTTCTCGAGTCAGGAAGCAGTGACAGGAAGCAGAGCACAGCAGAGGGGACCTGCAGTAGTGAAGAGGTGAAGGGGATAGTGGAGGGCAGCACTCACAGCTGGAAGGGCTCCTCCTTGCTGGGCCAAGGCCACACATTTTTGTAACCATATTTTAGAGTCTTCCTCCCTTTTCCTAACAGTCCAGAGAGGAGGGTTCATGATGGAGGGATTATCTTTCTAAGTACCATGGCTTCAGATATAATTCTCCAGGGCTTTTAAATCTTGTTCACTTTCACTTTTTATTTATTCTTGGGGGATTATACTGGACTCAACTGTGTCTGGCTTTGTATTATTAAATGGCCCTGTGCTATGAAATTTTAACTCCGCGGAGTCTTAGCATCCTACCATAAACACTCACAAGAACAAATCCTGTTGATACTTTGCAGGGTGTTGTGGTTCTTGGTAGGCAAAGGAGCACATTTTGTACTGCATTTCCATTTCTGGTGTCATGTTGAGTACTTTTAATTTTTTCTTTTTTTCTTTTTTTTTTCTTTTGCCTGAAGAACATCTTATGAGAACATTCTTTAAGAACACCACCACATAAAATACCCCTTTATTATCAGATTGCTCTGATTTAGCCTTAATTTTGTTAAACTTTTTAGAGATGAAAGAAGTGCTGCTGTGGAAAGAAATGTACTATATACTATTTCTGTATCATTAAAATGAAATTTTTATGGTTCCTTTTCCTTGGTTTCTTTGGGGAAGGGTCTTGGACTATGGAAAGCTGGAACTCGGACTCTCCCACTTCTGCCATGTTTGCGGTGGGGACAGCATGGAAGAGCCCTATGGCAAGTGCCATACCTGTCACAACTGTGCCTGTTAAACCTCCTGAAGCCCCCTCCCCCCACTCCTACCCCCCGTCCATGCAGTTCTTTAAACAAACCTCACACCCTATCCCACTCTTGGAGGTGTGCCAGGGCTTCCTGGGGCCAGGTGGTCTCTGTCTAGTGATGTTTCCCAGCTCTGGTTCTAATGAGAGCCCCATCCTCAGCCTCTTATCCCTCCCCAGCAGGTGTCATGCCCACAGTCTGCCCCTCCAGGCATAGTATGCTGTTTGCTCACTACTGCCTAGATTACTCTTCTTTCCTTGCTGGCACAAAATACCCAACATCCGACATTAAGGATGGAAAGGTTTATTTAGCTCACAGTTAGTGGAGGTTTCAGTCCACACTCAGCTGGCTCCAAGGCAGAGCGGCACATGGCAGAGGGCAGGAAAAACAGAAAGCCTGTCTCTCCTCCTCACATTGTAATGTAGATCACCTGCCCCAGGGCAGGTGCGGCACCTGTACCCACTATAATCAACCACAAACTCCAGAAGCCCCTCTGCATGAGCCTTTGGGGGGAGACAACTAGACACAAACCATAGCAACTACAGACGCTATGTTCTGTCCCTGTGACTGCTGAGGAGGCAAGAAAGTGTTTTATTTCTCTGTCAAATGCAGAGGAATAATCACTTGGCATTATAGGGACTGAAATGTACTCCAGTTTTCTTTAAGGTAGAGAACAAATCTCTAAGAATTACTTAGTGGCTGGTTAAGTCAATTAGCATTCCAAGGTAGGAAAGCTAGAATGGTTTGAGTTATAATATTGATATTCACAGTGCATTCAAGAAGTTTTCTGTAAATAGGTATGGTAATACACACTTGTAATTATAATGCTCTAGGAGGCTGAAGCAGGAGGATCCCAAATTGGAGTTAGGCCTGGGCAACTTAATGAGATCCTGTCTAAAAATGGGAGGGTGGGATGGGTTGGGACTGAGTTCAGTGTGAAGGCCCTGGGTTTAATTCTCTAGGACAGTAAATCCCCACCTTACAAACAAATTCCATTCTGGGAGAATGTTCCTAAGTTGCATCTGACAAAGTGAGTCTTACACTGTATAGTATACCTGTGAAAGTTCACAAATCAATGAACAAATCAATGTTTATAAGTTGGAGACTTACTGCACTATAAAGCAAACAGCAACAGAGCACCAAGGTTGCTGTTAAAAAGTCCAAAGCCTATAGCTATATGGACAATCTACTGACCATCCTTGTCAGAATGAACAGCTGGCCCACTTCCTCAGAGCTTCCCTTACTTCCACCTCAGTGGGCTGCTTAACGTGGCAGCCACAGTCTGTGTGCTGTGCCTACCCAAGGGTCTGGACAGTCCAGTGAAGATCAGTCCTTGCCACGGAGAGCTGTCTGCTCAGCAACCCACCCTGCCCTGGTCCTCTTTGCAAGTCTTCTGACGCACACTGTCCCTCATCACAACCTGATGGACGTGGGTGCACCACCCTGCATGTAGTTCTCCATCGTGACTGTGGGTGGATTCCACACAAGGAGACTTGGATGACGCTGATGCTAGGCCCACCCCAGGCCTATGGGAATC